TCGATGTACGCATCAGTTCGAAATCGTCCAGGTTGATCTCCCGCTTCCGCCTATCAATCCTCATGGGCACTACATGCGTCATGGCTCGCCCAGACCAAGGCGCATCGTTGACGAAACTCGTGGTTGTTGTCACGCAGACCTTTTCATCCTGTGCGATGTTCACAATCCGCACCGCGAATCGCCGGCCGTTGCCTATCCGTTGTACTTTGTACATGAGGGGTTTCTGCGGATTGGGCGCCAGCATGAAGTGCGTCTGCAGCGAATCCAGCATGAACCCATCAGGCACTGTCTTCCACGCGGCCGCAGCCGCCTGGGCCATCATCAACGGGCCCGGATATGAGTTTGTGACGTGAAACACCCACGGTTCATGCACGTTTGTGAAGACATCCTGGTTTATGCCCATTAGAACTTCGAGGTTCCTTTGCAAAATCCCATCACACTTTGCTACTTACGGGTGCGACCTGCTTCAGCTCGAGATGTGTTTCAAAATCGAGCTGCTTTGGCGCCGACTCTTTGCTCTTTGCAGCCATGTCTGACCTCCCTCACCACAGGAACCCGCTTTAGTATGAAGCTTGTACCGACGGCGCTGAAACCCTTGTGTATGCTCCAGGCGAGGATAGATTCTTCTATGCAACGAGACGCCTCGTAATACTGAACAGAAACACTTCCGACCTAGACCGACATTCATTTGCGACGGAATCCTGGATATATTCGCCGGGGGATGCTAAGTAACGTTATGGCGGACAAGCACCGCTTACTGCATGCTCAGCCTGTCAGTCTTGCCGGATTGTCGATTTGGGGTAAATTTCTACCGAGGCTCAATATCTCCTCCGTTTGAAGCGTCCCCAGAATTGAGCTCCCACCGCGAACGCAGCGGCCAGAGACAGTCAAGGTAATTCGCACATCGGCATAAGTTACCAAGGCCGAGTGCAGCTGTTCTTACCCCAGTCATTATTTCCAGTCCGCCGCAGTCGGCTGTGAGCGCTATCCCCCAGCCTTGTAATCCCTAGACTTCCACCCTCTAACCCAATGAGAAGCACCCAGAAATAATATGTAGCGCATCAATGTTTGCGCCTTATTCTCCGAGTACCAACATGAGGCCCATCTAGGAGCCTGTACTGGTGTACGATGAACAGAGTTGAGCATCGCCGTCGCCGACTATCCGAACCGTTGCAAACTCATGAGCGTTCTCAACAAAGCCACCTCTTTTGGCAAACTGTTTTCACCGTCATTCGCGCAAACGTGTCATACTAAAGCGGGTATTTTGGGGTCTTTTTTTTTGGAGAAGGGGCAACCGTCTTGGTATACATGAGAGCATAGAGCTGTGATGGAAGACTTTGTGTGTACTGTCAGTCTCCATCGCCGACTCGAAGTTGATGCGCAATGCCTCCTCATCATTTCTTATGGCTGGGCACTATTATGCGAGGGTATAATCAAAAATATTCGCGAGAATATTTATCGTAGAGATCTGGATACCACTTCTGTCCCTCGTCTGGGTGGCTGATGACGCGGTTCCGCAGCGAGGCTTTGCCGAACTACTCGCGCCAGTCATTAGTCCGCGCATTGTAGAAAGTTCTAGGAATGGCTTGACATACACAGGAGAAGGCTGGAGAGAGAAACTCGCTTGCGACCTGATTAATACTCGGCACCACTGGCGCGTCCGAGGCTGGGATGCATCTGGTGATATGGGCAGCTGATTCTTTGAGTTGATTTAGTGTTAGGTCTTAGGGGACAGCGAGGAAATAAGGGATACTGTAGCGCACTGTCCCTGCCAGAGCCTAGAAATGAAACCCTCATCAGGAACTTGTATAGACTGATTTCGAGAGAGACAAGATCTTACGACGACTCGGTGTGTAGTAGCTGAGCACAGGCCCCCGGTTATTGCCTCAAAGCCTTGTCCTTTATTCACAACAAGCCTGCCGGGCACCGGCGGAGCATCAATCCACTGCCCCGTTCTGTTGAGGACTTGCAGGCTGCCGACAGAGTCTTGGGAAAGGAAGATAAAGAGACCTGTGGAGTCCTTGTGTGGCCCGACGCTTTGGGATCCTGGAAAAGCCGGAGGGTATTTGATGATTTTGAGTCTGTCCATCTTGCCACGGAACGGAGCGAAGGTGTTGATTGGAAGACCGAGACACTCGGCCACAGATCACAGAAAGGAGTCGGCTAAATTGGACATCTGTTGGATCAGGCGATTGACCAGATCTTCAGTCTTGGCATCGGGATACTTGCATTCCTCTTACATGAGTTCTGATGTGACATCCTTGGTTGAGCGAGCAAGATTTGTAGACGACTACTTACCTGGCTCGTGCCTTCGAGCCGCTCCCAAACTGGATCACCATCCGTCCAAGATTCTTTCAGAGGAGTTCCAAAGTCGAATTGCTTTGCTCAGGTCAATTCCTCGTCCACCGTGACGACAGATCCCATACATAATTCCCGAAGATCAGTCCGCAAAGCCGTCGTTTCGGTGCCTAGGGCCGTGTAACCGAGGAAGCAAGGCGAATTGATCATGTTGCATTTCTCCTTGCTTTCCGGAGGAAGACTGAACAACTCGGGTACATTGCGATGTCCTTCTTCCACCACTGACTGGATCTTCGTCAGACGGAAATCGAATCCCTAGATGCCTAGCATTTCAAACTTCACCTCTAAACCTATATTGATGAGATAAAGAAATTCGACCTTAAAAAGAGCATCTTGCAATTGTTTCAAAGCTGGAGGCTTTGTCTCCGTGGACTGAAGACTTGTGAAGTCAACGATGGGGATTTTGCTGAATGAAGTGGCCATCAGTGTGGCGGGAAACTATCGAACGCTATACGAGGTACAATCCGACTGAGTGCTTCCTAGTTGTAGAGAAAGAATTGTGTTATTTGATGTAGCGCGTAGCCACTTATTTTCGGAGTAGCCTTGCAGGTTCTACTCCGCACTCCGGGGTATCTCGCCGAACGTGTGAACATTTTCTGTCCAGAGTACCGAGTGCCTGGTGCCGAGTATACAGTAGAGTACCCAGTATGGGGCCGGGAGAACGGAGTAAACTTTGTCCGTTCCGGCTCTACTCGGTCCAGTTTAGCCATCACGAGTCAAATTGAGCCTAGCGGCATCTTGGCCAGGCTCTTTCACTTCTGGCACCTTCACCACCCCGAGCCAGCTGCATCATTAGAGCACAACCATCTCATGAACTCCACGAGGGACAAGCGAGTTCGTCTGGCGGCTTGCCCACCCATGCAGACAATTGAAATTAGCATGTGATCACTGCAAGCCAGTCTGTTCGCGCTGCATACATGCCGGACGATCCAATTCCTGTATGTACCGCGAGAAGCCTTTCAGGAAACGCCACAGCAAGGGGAGCAACCAGATACGGTAGCCAAAGCGATCGTCATACTGCCAGCCAGCTTGAAACCACGCAGAACTTTCCGGTGAATGCTTCACTTCCCCAAAGATCCCTAATTGATCAGGAGCCCCAGGAGCCCGCGGAGCCCCGGTACCCGAACACTGGCCATTTGGGTCTTTCGAGCTCTGCCACCCTCTTCAATCGTCTCGCCGGTGATGGGGATCTTCACGAATCAAGGCCAAATCAGCCATTATCAACCAGCCATGGTTCGACACGACTAAACGGCAAAATTGTTCTTCAGTAGAACCAAGTCCTTCAGGAAGTGATGGATACGGTCAATGGCGAAGATTTCGAGAATCTTCTCGACTTCTTGCTGGCAAATGGTATATCTCTCACTCTTGGCGGGCCTTTCGTCGAAAGTTGTACTGAATCTTTGCGTCGACTGGTAAGAGGCAAGCTGTTTGATGTTACCAATCCCTCGGGAATCACGGAGAAGCTTTCAGATAATTCGACTAAACCTCTGACCGTTTCGGCGGGATCGACCCTCAAAGATTTCAACTGTGATATCAGTGATACCAATGTCAGGTGTGAGAGCATCACCATTGCGCTAATCGCGGCAGGTAGAGCTACAACAGATTTCCATTCTTCCCCCCCAACTCTACACCTCCCGACTTGAACTTCGTACTTTGCAACGACCCATTACAGAGCTTTCAGATAGATGCTTGGAGATCATGCTTGGGCTTGATTCGTTGAACGACATACAACTCATCTGTCAATATGAGAATTTCATTTTGCATTCCGTTGTGGATGGAGACCAGAGTAGGCTCTGTGATACTTCGGAGGTATTTGTTACTAAAATACTGATGCATATCAGGCTACAGCGCATGGCGCCGATTAAGCGACGTGATTAGCTCATTGATATTCCTTGGCCTGCATGAGAGAATAGCGGATATGCCCATGGTTCCCGGATTCCTCGCCGAGCTGCGTCGGTCAAGATTTGCTCAAAATATACTCCGATGACAAGAAACATGGCGGCTTTTCTTGGTCGCCCTCCCAGATTGAGTCGCAAATTTTGCTGTTTTCAGCTCCCGGACAATAACCAAGATACTCATACAAGGAACCCTCTCAGACCGCTAATGGCAGCTTTAGACCACGCTTTCTTCGGCTCCAACGACCGCATTGATCAAGTGACCGGCTTGCGTTGGACAGCATGCTGTGCTTCTTTGAAGGAATAAATCCTGGAAGTTTTACACGAGCATGGTGTCCAATCAGCAGAACGAGTGTTGTGATTTGAGGAGGTGTTCGATGGCCGCCATGCATTCCTTTCATAGTACTGACAAAAACCAAGTGCGATCTATGCATGCGCACAGAGGCTATGGCGATCTCTCCCGGGTCACCTCAGGCTTGAGCGTACCCTCTTTCCGCATAGAGCTCGGTCACCATTCGAGAATGATTCCTGTTGAATACGCGATTGACATACATTCAAACGTTGTTCCTGCTCAGGAATAGCTTTGCGAATCACGAAAATGCCGTTTTCGCCGAGACGGAAGTGGAGTTGCTCCAGATATCACAAGAAATGTTGTCTTTGACAGTTGAAGCCATAATTCTCCGAGACCACTTGGTAAATTCGGGAACCAGTCTGCTATGGAAGGTAGGGATCAATCTATCACGCATGATGAGTCAACTAATTGATTCCGAGGTTGCGCATTATGGCCTTCCAGTCGCTGGAGCTATTTGCCTTTCCATGCTTCGGCCCACGTTCTGGCAACCGTGCCAGGACCTCTGCATCCCCAAGATCCTGCAAGATCTAGGTGTCATTGCGTCGGAACTTGGACTGGGTGGCCTGTTCCAGGAGGAAGCTCCTAACTAGGACTTGGTTTCTCGCGCTGCAAACGCGATACAACGTCTCGTCAGCACAGCACTTTCTTGTAGCGGCGCATTTACTGATTTGAGGGGTGGCGAGCGAGAAGTTACAGACCTCTCACATCAGGAAAGACAACCGCACCTCGACTTCACAAGTCTGGACTTGTCGGCTTATACCGACCTCTGGGGTTTTGAAGTCGGCTTCTGACAAGACCTAGGAACGCATCCCTCTTTGCTAATGCCCACCAGCTAACCATGGAATTCTGAGGATGGTGGGACATCTGTGGGTGCGCGAGCGAATTTTTGAGTCAATGGACAAGGGGTCGAAACGTCGGGCAGACATTGATGATGGTACCGGGGTGGGCGCAACGGGTAGTAGGTACGTAAGAGTGCCACGGGGCAGCACGGCGCTAGGAAGGCTCTGCGGCATGGCTGCGTGGCAGCGTGCCCTACCGAGAGTGTGCCGTACCAAAAATTGTGCAGATCCACCACTGACCGTCTCGGAGTGACGAAAACCCACGAGATCTCGGCGAGATCAGCTGTACAGTCCGAGTCGAGCGGTTATCTCGCTGTATGACAAAGAACAACAAAAAGGACTTTGCCAGAGATCCAAAAACAGCGAACTATTTTCAAGCACAGTCCTATTTCGCAAACTGACTTAAGCATAGCATTACGGGCTTGAAACCTCAACGATGGCGTCAGACGGTTATTGCGATCTTGGAACATTTACGACCCCAATTACGACCACGAGTTTCAAAGCGCAGAAATGGTTTGATCAAGGCATCCTGTGGTCATACGGCTTCAACCACGACGAAGCCATCAAGTGTTTCCAAAAGGCGATTGAACACGATCCCGATTGCGGCATGGCAAATTGAGGTGTCGTCTACGCTTCCGGGCCCAACCACAACAAAGTCTGGGCTTCGTTTGACCAGGACGACCTGAGGCAATCGGTTGCCACAAGTCACGGCCTTTCTCGCGAAGCGATGAGACACGTAGCCCACCTTACGCCAAAGGAAGCCGCCCTCTGCAATGCGATTCAATCTCGATATCCGAGTCGCGACATCCCGTTCGATTTTGAAACTTCCAACCGAAGCTACGCAGAGGCAATGAGAAAGGTCTACGACGAGTTCGGGCAGGAAGGTCTTAATGTCAGATGTCTATTTACCGATGCTCTCCTGATGACAGCGCCCAGAAAATGTTCGACCCACACACCGGCCAGCCTATTGTTGGTTCGCCAGTCCATGAGGTGACTAAACTTCTTGAGGATGGCCTGAAGGATCCGGCTTGCAGAAAGCATCTGGGCATTTTGCACCTATACATACACCACATGGAAATGTCTGCCAATCCTGCTGTCGCGCTGCCTGCGGCCGACCTCTTGCGGCCACTATGTCCCGACGGTGGCCATCTGAAGCATATGCCTTCGCATCTAGATGTTCTCGTGGGAGACTAGGCGATCGATCGCGAGCAATCGTGAGGCTGTCAAAGCGAATGAAAAATTTCGGGAACGATCTGGCGGCACAGGATTCTACACCTTCTACCGACTGCATGATTATCATTCTCTCGTCTATGCAGCGATGCTGGCTGGTCAATACCGAAGGCATGGGAGCCTCTATCACAGATGGCTTGTTAAGGACTAAATCGCCCTTTGGCGGACTGGATGGAGTTTTTCAAATCTGTCCGCTTGCATGTATACATCCGGTTCGGTTTGTGGGATGCTATAAAAGCTCACGAGCTTCCTGAAGACCAAGAACTTTATTGCGTAACGACAACCTTCGCTCACTATGCCAAGGGTCTGGCTTGGGCTGTGTCTGGACACCTAGACAAAGCCGACAAGGAACGGACGCTGTATCAGGCCGTCGCTGCCCGCATTCCACCGTCCCGGAAAGATTTCCTGAACACAATCAGTGATCAGCTCAGGATAGCCACTGTTATGCTGGACGGCGAGATCGAATATCGCAGAGAGAGCTATTCCGTTGCATTCAAACACCTGAGAGACGCGATCCACCACGACGACACACTCTTATAATCCGAACCTTGGGGTTTGATGCAGCCGACTAGACACGCCTTCGCAGCCCTTTCTCTTGAACAAGGCAACGTTGAGGATGGCATATGCCGATGACCTGGGGCTGGACGACTCTTTGACCAGTGCCCATCAACATCCAAACAACCCCAGGGCTCTTCACGGATACCACGAGTGTTGAGCAAGGCTGGGACGCACAGATGAAGCACGCATTATCAAGAAACAGCTCGAATTTGCATTAGCCTGGTAGATGCGCCGATCCGGGCCTCCTGTGCCTGCAGATTGGATGTGTTGAAAGCAGTGAGCGATGGATGTTGCCACAAATAAATGAAGCTCGGATAATTTTACAGGGCTTGCGGCCACGAGGTCTGAAAGCAGCAGCACACTCCAAATAAAGATACGATTCCTCCCAATATTGGACAAAAATGTACTGTTCGAAGCTACCAGGAGGGCAAGAATTTGCCTGTTACGCCGTGTCCAGAGACGTATGTCTTGATGTTGTGCTAGAAGCCACACGCACTTGTGCTGAGGGAGCTTTGCCTGCCTTGGCCTTCTGGAGCTCCTGCTTGGCTGCATCGATGGCCTTGACGCGATCATCGTAATTCCGGATACTTCGTAAGTTTTGTACTTTGGCAAACACTTCTTTCTTCCTTTCATAGTCGCCCCAGAATTGTCTGTTGGCTCGATTGGCCGCTAGATTCCATTGCTCCAGGCAGCCTTCCTCTTCGTCGCTCAGGGCAAGAAAAGCATACATATCGGCACGCCTGGCCTTGATCTCCTCCGGAGGGATGTCAGACATCTCCGCCCGTAGCCGGGTCCCGATATGGCTATCATCACAGCCAAACCCCTGGACGATCAGAAAGGTGGGCACTACAATGATCACCACTGTGATGAGCTGGCTCACCAGGTCCGACATGCCGATGGTGATGACATGTGCGCCGAACGCGAGCCAGGAAATCCAACGTACAAGTTCGTAGACCAGCAATTCACGTGGACCCGACTGTTTCCTCCTATTCTCCTCTCTCCTGCGGACAGGCCAGGTCCCCACTCTCTTGGTCTCGTCCCTCGTGCCTGGTGGCTTGGGGTTATAGACAAAGACCTCGCGGACCAAACACTCCGGAATGAAGAGGACGGCGGCTCGTGCATCTGGCAAGAGCACGATGACCTTCGCTTCCGGCAGCTTTCGAAGTTCATCTTCATCGAAAATCTTGTTGTTCGCGTTGGATCGCTTTTTCGTTGACACCAAAGGTTCCGGCTCCCCAAGCGCTTTCTTCGCTTCCTCGACAACAGCTCTGTCGAGCCAAGTGGTGTTGCGGCTTACCAGATAGGCCCTTCCGGCGGTAGAAATGACCATGGACATGGCGTTCGCAAAGCCCCACCAATCTCCCATCAGGACTGTGATTACGATAAATCCAGCCTGGACAATGGCTCCGGTGAGTAGGGCTAGCCAGAAGTCAAGAGCAAAGGAATGAGCCTTTGCATTGATGCTCCATTCGACGCAAGTCCCCGATGTTTCAAAGTCTTGCTCGATGAGCCAGCGACTGAACCATCCCGCGAGACCAGGCGTATATATATTTGCGGAGAAATTGAATAGCTGGAAGCCTGGCTGTTTGGCTGTGAACTCATCGCTTGCAATGACATATGCTCCGAGGAGCGGCATGTACTGCAGCCATCGACTTCGGACAAGCTTACCCACATGGTTGTTGACCTGCTCCGCACCGAGGAGCGTTACGATACCCAAGGCATCGAGTCGAAATGGCTGAAAGTTCTTCAGGTAGCCTAACAAAACCATGCTGGGAGTATTGCCACTTCCAAGGGATGCGCCACGTGTCGGAATTGGTTATGCTGTGAAGACCGATCTGCAACGGAGATGGGAAGCTCAAGCATGTCTTGTTTCACTCAGGTTCGCTAACCGCCCTTTGGTAAGACGGTCAAAGGTTCGAGGCGTCCGCGCCACACTCGTCAGTGGCAATGGTTGCGTTGACGACGCCTGGTCTGCAAGCTGTCAGTCTCTCCCCACATTCAATCTATTCAACGCTCAAACGGATACCATGTCCAATTGGAAACAAAAAGAGCAAAGACTACTCCGGCTGTCTGGAGTAGAGGGGCCGCAATACTCTCAGTAACTCATGGTTATTGTTAACCAAACCAGCAGAACGGGAGTCAGGAGGACTTGTGGCTGCTGAGATAGAAGCTGCCCGACGGACTATCCCTGGACGGGCGTAGCGGGACTGGGCTGTTAAATCTGGCCTTGGACCAAACATATCGAAGGCCGTTGGACTCAGCACGAGAATACAAAATACCCTGCCAAAGCGATTTCGCAATAAGTGCTCTGTACTTTTGTGCAATCCCTTTGTGAGTGCCCAAGGCTTGATACATCTCCACTCCTAACCTTGGATGGGCTCCCAATCACCAGACTATTTTTCGCGGCTGCTCCCGCTATTTCGAGACCAGGCTTTTTTGCCACTCTTCCACGGACCTCAAGGCGGAATTCCTACCTAAACTCGAGGATTCTGTGGGGAAGCCAAACAAGTTCTACCTCGAACTCCACCTGAACTTTGATGGTGCGGCCGAGACCGAGCAAGCCGAGATAGGGAGGCCCGCGATTGCCCTCTCCAAAACTCTTCACTCCAACTACCCGTACCCTGAACTCAGAACCGATGCCTCAATCGGCATGCTGCTGGGAGTTAGGAGTGGGGGTGAATACATGTTTGTCAAATACTAACCGAGGGCCGAAATATCCACTTTTGGATGTCCTCCCTGGAGCCTTTCCCTCATATATCGCGTGCTGTATCGATCGAAGCCCGCGATCTAATGTCGGATAAATTCACCAGATTGAACTAGAACGGACATCCTTTCTCTGACCTTGAGAGCGCTCTACACGATTTCTTCGACATGCCCGGACTCAACCTCCAGGGCGCCTCAGCCATTGTGACAGGCGCAGGCTCCGGTAAGAAGGATCCAATCTCCCATGTCCCTATTATTTTGCCCTTTGACAGGTCATACTCACTTACAACGTGACTGCCTCATCAGGCATCAACTTGGCCTTTGCACGGGCTCTGTTTGAGAAAGGGTGCAATGTCCTAATTGCGGATATCAGCCTTCGGCCGGAAGCACGAGAATTCGTTGATTCCGCCGCACAAAAAGGCGGCCCGAAGGTTGTCTTTGAGCCGACAGATGTTACCGACTGGTCTCAGTTAGAGAAGACCTTTGATGTCGCGAAGAAACAGTTTGGGACTGTGCCCGACCTTGTGTGTCCCGGAGCAGGGATCTATGAGCCGGTGCGTAGGAGACTATCGGCAGTTTTGTTTTGTCGAGCTTTCTCACACTCCCTCTATCTTCCCTTTCTTCACAACATTACTGGTCAGAGGTCGGAAGACTCGGATACAAATAGCTAACGGTCTTGGTTACCGACAGCCAACCTCGGGATTCTGGGGAGATATCGATTCACCCTCCCACTACAAGCTATTCGACATCAATCTTGTGCATCCGATCAAGATGACGAGAATTGCTATTCGGCACATGCTGCGCGCTAAGAAGGTAGGAACGATCCTCCACATTGCCAGTGTTGCGGCGGAAACTGTCAGTATGATCACGCCCCTGTACCAAGCATCGAAGCATGGAATTGGCAGTTTCGTTATGGGGATGGGCGCCGTAGAAAAGATTTGCGGGATCCGGGTCCTCGGAGTCGCTCCTGGGTACGTATTAAGAGATATTACCCTTAAATTTGCATCACCAACCCCCAAAATTAGGACATGCGGCTGGCAAATTCGAAGAACTGGGATGAATTCATCCATTAAGACGGAAGCTAATGTGGAAAATTTCTCCTCAGGGCCATTGCGACTCCTCTTCTCTTAGAGGATCCCGGAGTTGCTGGGTGGGTTGATCCGACGAAGGACAAGATGCTCGATCCCAGTGTTATTGCGAGCGCCTTGGTCGCTCTGGCTGAGAACGTAAATGACAAGTATCCGTCGGGGACCCTCCTGGAGGTAATGGACGAGACCGAAGACCAATGGCGCATCATACCGGTGTACAACAACCCTGGGCCTGCAAGGACGAATCTGGTCAGTAACAAGGACAGTGCACTCGTGACAATCCAGAAGATACTGAAGGAGGAAGCCGAGTGACAGGAACTACGTAGCTTATATATCCGATGCATTCATGGAATACAGTTGCAGCTGAAGAATTGTCCTGCAACTGGCGACACCCGAAACGAGCATGTCTCTCTTGTTCTTTTCGGAAACCATGTAACTATTGGCTATTGCAACTTCAGGCCAAGCAGTGGATTTTTTTCTCATCCTCTAATACAACAGATCAAGAGATCAGATCTATATGCGAAGCCCTGAATGCCTTCTGTGGTGTCTGGTGTGGTCTCTAAATGCTCTCAGTGGTATCATCGGCTCGGAGTCGTGGCTCAAACCGCGATCTACTTTCTATAAGTATCCATGACTCTATAATACTCTATAATTCAACCTTGGTTGAGCTCTCGAGGTTATCCGACAAGCACCACTGAATTCCTTCGACAATCACCTCATCCCATCGTGCACTGGCTTTCAGACTATCGAATCGCCTGAAGCCATGTGGTAGACCGGGGAAGACGTATACTTGGGTCGACACCCTAGAGGAGCTCGTCAGCAATCTGTACTAATGACACCCCCGCAAATTTCCAACTTCAAGTAGCGAGGAAGAAACTCCTTACCCATTTCTATTCAACTTGTCAGCGTACAAGAGCGCTTCGTCTCGTAAGGGGTCCATCCCTGCAGCCACAATGACAGTCCTGGGCATACCTTTCACCTTCTCGTCCGGAGCCAGCGGCGGGTTTAAAAGGATGTCCGTCGGGTCGGTGTCTATGCTATCAAAGATATCGATGAACATGTTGATTTGAGTATGGGGGAGTATGGGGGCGTCGGCGTTTTGCACAAAGCTGGACCGTTCCTTGGAAACTAGCAGTTCGAACGGATACGCTTTTGGATGTAATATCCACGGAATAAGGAGCATTTGGCCGATGATTTTCAAGTCCACTGCTGAATGCTGTTGGTCTTGTCCCCTGAGTACGACAGAGGCCGCTAGGCCTCCGCCTGCGGAAATACCACCCACAATTACTTTTTCGCGGTCGCCGCCAATGGAAGTGATATTCTTGCTGAGCCATAGGAATGCGTCCCAGGCGTCATTGTGCTGGGTAGGATACCTAAAGTCCGGCGTGTGACGATAGTTCACGTGCACAACGATAACTGGAACCGGGGACATTGCAATGACACGGGCGCAGTTTGCGTCCTCTGTCTCGAGGCTTCCGAAAAGGTAACCACCGCCATGGAAGAAGACATAGACCGGAAGTGGTCCCGTAGCAGAGAGATCGACGCCTTTTGGTTGGTAAACGCGAGCCGGGATGGTCGAGTTATCGCGCGTTGGAATATCCGCGTCTCGCCAGCTCACTTTCTCCAAGAGTCCTGCGAGAAATGATATGTGTCAGCACTGATAGAGCAAATCGCATAAACTAAATGGGTCAAATGGTGCAGGAAGAAGCGGCAATAGCAGTATTCGGAATATTTTCGAGGGCTAACGCTAACGTGAAGACCGATCCGTCTGACAGCTCTGAGGCAGTAGCAAGCAGTGCCGGATCGCCTCTAGTAGCCGGCCGACTGTGAGAAACGCTGGGCGAACCGACCTGATGTCTGCAGCTCTATCTTGGATGCTTTCTCGCGCAGAGCGTTCCTTGACTGTCGGAGGTCTGTCGCGGTTTCTCCCGGTGCCAGCCCAACTGGAGGGATTTCAGTCACTCGAACGAATTCCTCCCACTCAGGATTCGGTCCCTGGTATTGAGAATAGTCTGCCATGGTTATTGTTGTGACTGTCAGAGTAGACTTATGATAGCATCACCGGCAAGATACGTCCTTTTGTCCTCCGGGAAAGTCAACCATCGGTATAGCAAGGGTTTCGGCTACCGGCAATCTCCCGGCACCATAACCGGCGACCAGGTGTGCGCTCGCGTGTTGGAGAAGTCCGGCTATTTGAACGACACCTTTTCGAAAATGCCTTGTGATTCACTGTCTAGCACCATATGCAATTCTTCTTGACCCCAAAATTGAGGCGAAGGACGGTGCGCTGTTCGGCTGAAGCACGAAGTGATCCCCTCTTCCACGTCTACTCCCCGCACTGATTCGGCTATTCTCAACCACTGAGCCAAGCCCCGTCGTTTCACATATTATGAGAAGCGTAGGCTGCCCTCCGGACCCTCTGGGTAGGCCAAGAGCTTCATAATGATTGAAACGGAGCAACAATAAACTCTTTGAACCTCACTGGACTGTATGCCCGAGAAGAGTTTTAAGGTTTCACAACATGTCGTACAAAGGACAAACTGCTTTCCTCACCGGTACGGAATCCCGCATATCTCCTGTGGCCGAGCATGGGCTAATGCTGATTTGGGCTAGGCGGCGCCAGCGGCATCGGACGTGCAGTCACCAAGATGCTTGTTGAAAAAGGGTGGGGATCCTTTTGATCCAACTTGGCCCTCCCCAAGAACTATATAAAGTTTCTAACATTAATGACAGAATCAGAGTCTATGTGGCAGACAGAGACCTAAAGGGCGCCCAGGCCGTGGCTGAGGAGCTGAACACGGGCGGCAAGGCTGTGTGGACTGTACAGGTCGATGTTGCAGACTGGGATTCCCAGCGAGGCGCATGGGAAACCGCTGAGGCCGAGTTCAAGCGTATCGACTATGTCTTTCCCGTTGCCGGCATTGGAGAGCGCCGTTCATTCCCCAATAGGCCCAATTCAGCAGGATATGAGAAGCCCGACCTGACCGTGCTTGAAGTGGACTGCATCGGTGTAATCTACACAGTCTCCCTGGCAGTTCAGCACTTTCGTCGTCAGCAACCCAATAAATATGGCTTTCGAGGGAAAAGTAAGCCCTGTCGTCCACACAATCTCCCATTGTGTAACCAAAACATCTAGTCATGCCAGTCGCCTCCGTCTGTGGGTTCTATATTCACCAACCCATACCCATATATACCGCGGCAAAGCAGTATGGCCCCCCATTACAATCGCATCAACCTCCGTCGTTGTCGTGAAAGCTTACAAACTTTCAGTGCCGTTGTGGGGCTCGTCCGCTCCTATGGTAAGATTCTCGCCGAGGAGAAAATCACCCTCAACGCCGTATGCCCGAACAAGATCAGGACGGGGATCTCGACTGCAGCCGTGTATGACAAGGCAGAAAAACTAGGTGTTCTGGTGCCGATGGAGAAACTTTTAGAGGCTTTTGAGTCCTTACTGGGTGAGAACCCCATGTCTGGAGAATGCCTCGAAGTCGCTCCCAAGCTTGGAGTCCGGGTCGTGCAGTTTGTTCCGTTCATCAATGAGGAATCGAAGATTAGTGCCGACATGACTTATGAGAGGTCGCACTATCTCCATGAGCCGATCATGGACGACAGAACATAAGATGAAGCTTCGGTGTTCCATACGCTCCTCCAGAATCGAAATCTTTTGGTATTTCGTCCGTGTTTCTCTAGACCTGAGCAATGGAGAAAGAAACCACAACCTGCAGTGTCCATCTCCATGGTCCGTTCTTTTTCTCTTGGCTTCATCAAAACTTCAGTGACAACTGTCGGAATGTGGACTCTTACAAGTGGTGGTGAGACTGGATCGTTTTCGGAATCAGTTCTGGTGGCTGTTGCGATTGATTACCCCCTCGCCCCTTTCTGATCTAGCCTTGCGCTGGCTTACGCCCAAACGATCAGGGGCTCTGTATTTTCCAGTAGCTCATCCTCAGAACAGCATCGCCTCTAGGTCTTGTTTCCTTTTATTTGTATCTCGTTTTCGAGTCATTTCGAGGCTCTAGCTTTCAAGTATAGTTCGAGTGAAAAAAACGGCGCGGCACCGCACAGTCTCCCTCCGTGTTCATCACTTCCATGAGTTAGGCAAGTGACTCTAAATCGATTCGGCAACAAAGTAAAGTTTCATAGTCTTGCGGTGGTGGAAAGTTATTCCTTTGCGGGTGTTCAGCTGGACAGGGATCTTACTCTGGCTCGCGGGGTGCGCCGTAGGAGAAAACGGCGCCCACGTCTGTGTGGCTCGCGTAGACATGCTCAAACCAAGTGCCAAGACATGGGTATCCGGCGCTTATCTGTGAAAAAGAAAAGTGACGCCCACTCTTCCCACGAATCATGCTTTCAGAGTGCTGTGCTAAGCCTTGAACAAGCGAAGCTTGGGATGCTTGTGTGATGCGATCTGGAGTGACGCGAGACCTCTTAGAGATCGTGGTTCCTGAGGAGCCACGTCATCACCTGGGGAAACCAGATGCCATTGAAGCACACAGAGATAACAGTAGAAGCTGAAAGGCCCATCAGCCTATAAAAAGGCCCTCCATCCTCCTCCGGCCGTACCAAGCATTCTTTGACCAGGCGGCAACGATCACAATAATTACACGCATCACTTCAATTCAATTGAACCCTGCAAGGACCATCCAAATATGGACAACCTTCTCAGAGAAGGTGAACAGTTCCTCGAGAACCAAGCAAACGGCCAAGGAAATGATCAAGGCCAGCAGAGCAACCAGCAAGGCCAACAAGGCCAACAGGACCAGCAAGGAGGAAGCATGATGAAGAACTTCGAGCAGAACGCCGGCGACGCCTACATCAATCAAGGTACAACTTTGTCTGTTTTTGTTTTTCCACCCCACTAGTTGCGGCGCATTGTGATCGCAGCAAAGCTGACTGTAGGTGCAGAGGTCAACAAGTTCCTGAACAACGAAGGCGTGCCAGCCGCTCTAGACGGCGCCATTGATGGAGTCATTGACACTGAAGTCAACAATCTCGAGAAAAGGTTTCAGAATTGACTCTGTGCTGTGTTATTTATTAGACCAGCCAGAGAGCGGGGGAGGAGAGCTTGTGAGGTCTCTTTTCATGAAGCCCTTGTCTCTACCCCGCCATGTTTCCCTCTAGTGAGCGCCTTACCCCTATGGTAGGTGTCGCCACCTTCCTCCTGGCTAGGCCAGCCCAGCCCTAGTGGCTTGTCACCTGTGTCTCATAGACAGGCGAGAGCCATGGCTCTCAGATAGTGGAATACCAAGCAGTAACAGAGTCTTCGTTCCGCATCCGACATCCCCCAGCTCCCGGCTGTACACAAAAAACAGGCACCTCCGCGGGATCGATCCCATTTCCTTACACTTCCACTGGAATCAGACGGTCTTTCTTTTGATCCTACTCAACCCCCACCCCCGACGCTGCCACAAGGCCCAGTCTCAGCCCTCTAAATCAGCCATTTTTGAGCCTTTGACTTTGCCGAGGTAGGCTTGTCACGGAGTAATTCTTTTCCAGTTACAGATCGACCAAAATTGGACATCTTCTCATACAATCACGCGACCGGCAGCGGAGGTTGGCTAGCATGTGCGAACCACAGCCTTATCTCTGACGGGCTGCAGGGTATGTACTGTAGCTGGCTGCCCACAGATGCGACTCATGCGTCACGGATTGCGGCTGCTCATTTCTCCCCCGCCCAATTAATGACCCATTCCAAGCGCCCGGGATGTTCCTTCGTGCACCCTGGATCCCTGTCCGTATTTGGGCATCGTGTCGGCAGGGTCATCTTCTCTCCACTTTTCCTTGCCCAGGTCTCTCTAATCCGTGCTAGATCGTTAGTAGCGTGAATGGCCTTGCAAGGCTTCCTAGCCCTGGACTGTGCTCCTTCAGAGGAGGTCCCCTATTTAAACCCTCGCTATCACTCCAGATACCTTGTAGTGGGTATATTTATTCATCAATCAATCAAGATATTCCTAGGAGCCCCAGGTCGACAGAGCCACGGGGCGACTGTCAGCAAGCCGCATACTATATTTACGCTCTATCCCTCTCCAATCTTGCTTTTCCATCGCTCTTTGCTTTTTCTTGGTCTTGAACTCTTCATCCCATCGTGTGTTTTAGTACCATCGACCTGTTGATCAGAATCCAAGGAATATGGCTTGAATTGAGTGACGCCGCGTCTCAAGGAAGCCTTTTTTTTGCCCAGCTCCTGAAGCCTTTGGCCCGCACAGGATCATTCCTCGCTCCACGGAGTCCAACAGTCATCAGCCTCTACATGTCCCCTATAGGAGTGTCTTGGGCTCTTGCCCAAACAGTGGACAGCGCTCTCAAGATCAGCCGAGATGCTGTTCTTATTGCCTCGGGGGACACCATTCAGCCATTCACCTTGACCGTTGGTGAGAAATTTTCCCCCGCTCGCCATTTCCAGCCTCACGCAGTCGAAGATTGAGGACATGCTGCGAAAGCAAGCTAAAAGCCCAATCCAGAAATTCTGGGCTGCCAAAATAGGTTGGGCAAAAGGCGACTCGGCCGATTTGCTGTCGTGCAGTGTTGAAGGCATACGTTTTCTATCCCTCGCAGCCGCACTCGTTTCATCATGCAGTAAATTTGATGCTGCCACGGCACTGGCAAGAATGATTCGCGATACCGCTAAAGACAAGGTATTAAGTCCGATTATTTTGCAATTGAAGGACTTTCTCGACGTTCTTGAGCCAAGACTCAATCAATCTCGATTCTTGGATGTTGTTCTAGGTTATCAAGCTTACTACCTCAACTGCACACTCGACTCCATGACAACGCCACTGTTCCAAGTGCAGAAGCAATTCGGAAGATCGTCGACAATTTTAGAGAGTTGTCCCGTGTTGGACCTGCGGATGTCCGAAGTCTGAAAATCACAGTAGGACCATTCGCTGCTGGGTCTCGGCCTTTGCACACTGGTGTGTCGAAGTTCCTCCCATGATATGTGACGAACATGGGGCAGTGACTCTTGACCGGCCAAATCCATAGGTCACCATTTGCATCTCGGGGGACTTGGATTATCATGATATCATCAGTATAGAAACTCTTTACGACTATAACAGCAGTCAAGAGGTTTTCGGTACTGTTGTCAAAGATGCAGATGGTCCTGCATGGGCGACTGGCATGGTGACAGTCGAAATCTATGCACGATTTCTGCTAAATGACCTCGAGTTCCACGGTGGCTTGGGAAGAAGGGCATGTGTTCAAGCAATACCATACGCTCTTCACCTTGTCAAGTCGGCTTTCACTGATCCAACCAAAATTTATCGTTTCACCGATTAAGAGGTCGAACCCGGGCTACTGAGGACAGTATATCCTTCGGATCCCTTCCCAGATGATGATGTTGTGGGTACATTGGTGGACGTCTTCCTTGGACCGACCGACTATTGTCCCCTAATCCAACGTCTGTCAGGTGACCTCAAACTTACAGACCTACCAGCCGCTAGCTTATGGGTCGAAGAGCGCAGGAATAAATTCCCAGAAAATCCCGAAGAAGCATTCCTGGGCCGGCTAGGTCAAATAGTGGCGGATATACTTATCTTGTCGCTGTTGGTTGCGGGAGGTATGACCGACCCGAAGAAGATCGACTGGCTTGTACTATATAACCCTTACGGAAACCTGGCGCCAGCCTCCTATGAGAATGAATGGCGGTTAGTTGTCAAATCCTTTCTTCAACACTGCGTGTTTCTTCGCCGGCCCTAGTTACTAGAGCCGCTCAGCGATTGGGCTCTCAAATTAATTAGCCATCAAGCATCCCAGTATGTCAGTAAAAGCGAATGGGTCGCGTCCTCTTTCTGAGGACAAGTCATCGTACCATAGTTATTGCTTGCCAGCGAGATACCTATTAGCGGCTTCGCATGCATGTCGCTTTTTGTAGGCACCTTGATGTTGGAAACGGAGAAAAAATCGAAAATTCTCCTGGATACTGCCAGAAGATGAAAAGGGGTCTCTGTTACCTCTGCTGAATCGCGAGTGTTCTTTATCCGCCCGCGCCAATGCCTTTTCCCGAAAGACAAAATTCGGTGGCAGCTGACAGTCAGAAGACAACCACCTAGAAATCTCCATGGGATGGACGTTTAATAGGAGCATCCGGCGGCCGTTTTGAACGCAGAGTGATGTGTTCAGTATTGCTGGGGAATTGCAGTCATTCAACAGACACGGGTCTGGAACGTGAGCAAGACGTTGTGCTCATCGCGCCAGACAGCGGCCTTCACAGCCCGAAGACCCTGATGGTGTATCCATTATACGGCGTTCAAGCACTAAAGATGCTTGCACTGGCTTCAACCAAGAGTTATTGTGACAGTAGGTCTGAAGCACTAAAGATCCTTCCGCCGGCCTCAACCCATAGTTCCGATGACAGGAGCCTCTCTATACTCATCGACAGGACCGCTTGCATGAGTTGTGCGATTCGCGTCTGTCAGCACTTGGGGATCGAAGGCATGATTTTGTGACCCGTGTGGAGGACGCAGGGTGGGTTCACCTGTGAGGCTTCTTCCCGACTCAAGGTCAGCCCGCTTCCATTCAATCTAGCTCCTCAATCGTTGTCTTGTTGTGGCTGTCAACACTGTCAGATCCTGTACTAGGTCTCAGTACAGAGCTTTGTGTCCCAGTGTCTTTTCGGGCTGGAGCAATCCTGAATTATGATTCGGACCTCCGTAGGCTTGGAAGAAGCTGTTCAGTGACCAACTGTCAGAGATAGGGCTCTTTGAAATTCTCTCAAAGCAACACCAAAAAACAAGTACACAATGAACAATGCCTTTGAAGATAGAACTGCGAGAAAGACCCAAGCAAGAAGTGCGAGCATGCCACCTAGGCTCATGTCACACACAAACAAGACACGGAAACCGGGCTTCAAGAGCAACTCCTTGGCTGCAGCCTCTCTGGCATCCTTGGCAGCTTCAAAACATTGATCCCTGACGGCTTCATTTCGGCTCAGCCTTGCTCTTGATGTCTACACAAACTAGGATCCGAGGTTGGGAGGACGCCGTATTACTCGCATGTGATGTAGAATGGATGTTACGTTTTGTTGGATAAATGAATGACATGCGTTCTAGTGACTGGCCCAGTCTCAGCTCGTCAAGCCCTTTTTCCTAAACAAAACCCCTTCCCCATGTATCAGCCCCCAAAAATTCTCCTCCGCCTCATTTCCAACGACATTTCTGGCCCTGCTCGTGCGGCCACCGAGTCTGAGTATTTCAAGTTTGATTCCACTAGTTGCAGGTGCCCGCCGCGATACCGCATTCACCGGGGCTAGTCTGGAAGCACGATCGCTGTACAGTGTGCATTGCATTAGTGATGCCCCCGCGGGGTCCCACTGTGAACCCAACAAATTCGAACAGCATTCCAGAAAACGTCTCAACGTTACCCAACGAACACTGTTTGGGACCTGATGTTGTACACAGAACAGTTGTGGATCTATCTGCCTGATTGTGTTCTGTCCCCCTGGCTATTCAGAGAGACTCTGCCTGTTTATATATACATTTGCCTGTACCCTGAAGAGCATTCCTAAACCTCCTATTCCGTCGCCATCCTGTCACAGGTCCGCGAGAACAACGAGGTTGAGGTAGTTTCCGCAGTTGGTGAAACGCCTAGCATCTCAGGTGGTTTCCCAGAGTGACGCTCTTGCGACCCTGTCAACACCTGACCCTCGAGAATGGAGTCAATACTGGGTTCAACTAAACCACGCGTCCTCTTTCAAGCCCACGAGATTCATATGTAGGAATGGTTGCTGCTGGAAACCACCTTGCAGGATGTGTTTGCCGTGTCTTAATTTAGCATGGTCTCCCTCTTTGGGGACATGTGGGGTGTCCACGTCTGCTGCGCCTACACTCCTGCGCAGCGACCCTAGCAGCACTGTCCAAAGAAGGGGTCGGCCCAAGTTGAAGGACAGACGACGACAAACAGACGGAAGAGGGCATGTTCAATGTTTGTAGCCATGATACTGTCCATGCTGTACAAATAGCGACTTCACGTCATGATCCAGCTTTGCGACGATTCGAAGACCTGCGCAATCTTTACAGCTGGACGCAACCTGTCCTCGCTTGATAGGCTTCCCTCTTCCATAACCTCGATTCCTGCATTCAGGAGGTACCGTGTTTTAACAAGCTGCTCCTTGTCTCGTACAGTCTCCAGGGATTGCAACGGGAGGGCCACACAAGCGCATCTCATAGCCTTGGTGTACTCAAACTCCTCCACAAGCAGCAGAAATTGATCTCTTGCCCAAATTTCGGCCCGTGGCGATATTCCTTCCTCCACATGGATTCGTATGAATATGTTAAAGTCTGTGACCACGGAATAAAAGTCAAACACCAACGCTGGTAGACTTCCGTCACCCAAAGGCAGTTTCTCCATTAGGAATACTGCAACACCCGAAATGACTAGTCCTCCTGGTGTCATTGTTGCTGGCGTGGTTTCATCGGCGTGTGCTCCCAGCAGAGACTGTCTTGTCAAAGGGTTGAGGAGATTCTGTGGCGTCCATCGTTATCCTTCCCGATCTACTCGTGCTCCTCTGGCCCAGAGTACACCCACGGGAATTTCACCCGGGGACGCCCAGAAAGCCTGCATTTTCATGTTATCGGGGGCGGCAAGAATCGGATGCAAGTGACTGCCTATCAAGATGGAGGCACATATTGTAGCGTCTGTTGCTCATGACGACGTACGTGGCTGCAAGGCCCATAGCAGATCGTCGAGTGAAAGCGTTCTTCTTGTACCTTGACTGTTTGATTCTTCACCCTCAAAAAGGCGCATCTGTGTGAGCATGTTTAGTCCCGCCATAGGTGACAGTGAATGCTCGTTAACCAGTGGCGCTTCCGGAGACTCGATTATCGCATCACTTAGCGTTGAGAAAGTGATTGGCTGATCTCGAAACCGGAAGAGTAGCCTTCTGGCTAGTATTGCTTCTTGTAATGTCCAGAGTCTCGTCATCCACTTGCTGTAGAAAATCATATACAGGGCCTGCAAAGGCGATGCTGGCAGATTGCCCATCAGAAGCTCTTCCGAGAGGATAATAACGTGACTTGCCGTTTCGTATGTCTGAGCCATGCGCATAATTGCTGTATTTATGTGTGGTTCCTTTATGGGTACGTATAAAGCGTCAATCCAGAAGAACGCGCCCTTATGTGCCGAGTCTGAGACCTATCGTTGAATTGTCCTCAGTTGGCACAATGGCAAAGCGGTTTGGATTTTCTCTGCCATCTGAGCAAACATGAGAAATCGCCACGTACTGTATTCCCGGCTCATATCGAACAAGCTTCAGGCGTCCTTGCTCGAGGCAAACAAGAGGGTATCCTCCAGCCTCAAGCACTAGGCCCAGTTCGCTCTCTGATACATACACATCTTGGCAGATATAATGATGATTTTGGTCCCTGCAATCCTCTAAGTGTATCGTCCGGTATGTACCATGGTCGATGTTGAACGCAACACAGATACCATCGTCACAATTTGCATGTGCTCCGCCGACTGCGAAGCTGGGCAATAGAGTTGTGTAGTAGAGGCTCTGTGCCCCTCCTAGGACTCGAAGCCTGTAAAGTACGTGTGGGCACCACTGTCGCTTGTTCTTCATTTCTTGCTTCAATGATTCGCAAGAATACATGTTGGCTCGAAGTTTTCGCCGACTATGAAACGATTGGTGAAGGTCCATGGTAGAGAGGAGGACAAGCAAGCTCAATTCAACTGATCGTGGGAGAAGGTAATACCGCAGCGCAGCTGGAATTTTAGCCATGTCATCGAGAAAGGGGGTCCCGATTCGGAGTGACCGAAGCACGTCGGCTCTTAATCCGAGTCCGCTTCTAGATGATCTCGAAAGTTGACAACGCACTCCGCGAACGCCGCTTCAAGCTGATACAAGAGCGTTCCGTCTTCTCATCATTCTCTTCCATAATCTCTTTGACTTCAATAACCTCACCCCTAGAGACTGGTCGTCTTAAAGCCACACTCAAGGTACCCAGCATAATTCAAGTTTGGATGAAGCCACCAACCACTGACCGCGGCATATTGCTTGCAACGGCTTTGACAGCCTGCTCTCGCTCGGCGTCAAATGGTAGTAACGGCGCAATGTTATCCTAGTCATCATGTACCGACCAAAAGTCACGGCTCTCCAGAGCATCGAGATTTAAACCGTTGAATGTCCCGAGGAGGGCTGGTCCAAAGTTCTGGCTTGCTTCATCCCACAAATCATATGCTGCTGTAATATCATAATCAAGTAAAGCGTGGAGATGCCATCCTTGTCTCTGAGGGTACGTGGTGAAATCTCCATTGTCATAATCCCGAACACCTAAGTCTGGGAAACAAATGATCTAAGAGCGACATACCCGTTGAAGATGAAAGAGCTGCTTGCTGCGTATTGTGCATATGTGCAAGAGGTGGGAGTGGTGGAAGATTTCGAGTGGGGGACTTTTGTTACAGACCCTCCTTCGTGAGGCTTCTCATGGAGGAGGGAGACTGCCTCAGTTGGAGTTGAACAACAGGGCTCAGGGGAAGGGGGCCAGGTTTCCAAGTGCTCATATTAAAGTAAGTGTCTGCAAACACTCGGAAGCAAAGACGGAATCTCCATCGATGTAGCCTGCACCGAGTCTTTTATAGTGACCATTCTCCACCTCTTCTATGGCGACAAAGGCAGACCCATAGTCCCCCGAATCAAACTTCCGTCTATCCACAAGCAAGCAGAGAAAGTCCACCGGGACCCCAGCTCCCTCTAAGGCCTCATCATCGAAGGTGATTTCGCCACTTGGAGGTTCTGTCCGATAGCTTTGTGAAATTTTTGTCAGCCGCCCCTTTTACTATACGGTCGTCATCTTTCGAGGGCGCGGCTGAGACACTGCACTTTCCCACGCACGTGGAGAGTAGCCCTTGTGATTTCGCCGAAAGGATTCGCCCCTTCTCTAGGCGAGATATCGATATCCAGGATTTTCAATTGCTTTACCGGTGGTCCTGATGATGAGGTTAACACCAAACTTTGATACCCGTCAGAACGAACGGCGCCGTCTATAGAGGCCCATGACCAGGATGGTGCCCGCCACGATTTCACTTTATGACCTGTCTCGGTGAACAATCTGGCGTTTACTGTCCAAAGTAGGTCGAGCGTAGTCCCTCGCGCCACAACCCGGCGACATACGTTGCACCGGTGATCTGCTGGAATTGCCGCGCCAAACCAGCTAAAGCCGGCAGCTTGTCGCTTACGGCCAACAGTCTGCGCGGGGCGTAATCATCAACGACGCTTTGCCAGCGAACCAACTTTAGCTGCAGAGTTGGTTTCCGGTCTAGTGGTGGGAGGAATATTCGACTTCTGAGGGACTTGTCGACAATTGAACCGTCCTCGGCCAGGACGGACTGCTGACATTCCCAGAATACGCGTTGCTTAGTGAAATATACAACCCTAAGTGATAGCGCGCTCTCTTGTAAAGTCTATGCTCGACAAGCGAGCCGAGACGCCTTGACGATGTCGTCAAATAGGCCATCCGAATGGGACAGTGTCATGGTTCCATACCGGGAGCTGTCATTAGAACAAGGTGAGGAAATCTGGACACTTTCAGCTTGTGTTCTTTTTCGAAACAGGGGTTGCCACTTGTCTTCACACACGGAAGCAGCAATGGTGAGAGTCGCAAAACCATAGATCTCATCCATAATAGCTGAGTTCTTAGCCCAGTCATCTCTATCATCTTGTACAATACAGAGAGCGTCCACCCACAGATACTGGAAACCCAAGTTCTGGGTCAAGCAGGCAGCATCTCTGATAGTGGTCGGAAGATCCTCAAGTCGAAAGCCACGAATTCTATCTTGATAGGTGGCTCTGTGCGTTCGAAAAGACTTGGACCGGCCCCAGCTGTAGGATAACGCACAATATCGCCCGTACAAGCCGTCAGTCTCCTTGAGCCGCAGAGTCGCTGAAGAAATGCCGCCTACGTCGATAAGCCTTGGAGGTAGCGGCAAGTGATGCAAAGGGTCTTCAAGAACTTGCGAATCGCGCGTTTGAAAGGGCGTCTTCTCGGACATCACCAGTGGATTCCGGCAATTTTGGTGTCCAGTTTCACAATCGCTAAGCCACTTCTTGATTCGATGGGCACATCCAACAGGCTCGCAGCTTTCAGGGACTTGTCTTCCGACCACATCCCCGGCAAGAGCCAGAGGATCGCCTGTGGAGAGTCTCAGTAAGGAGGTATCTAGAATGGGTTGAATGGAGGAAAGCAATTGTGATGTATCCGCCTCAGTTCAGCAACTCACCAGGCTCAGTCGTGATATTCAAGTATCCTGGTTTGGCGAAGCTACTCCAACGGGACCAGATCAGCATCTGGAACAGCCCTTTGGGTGTCGACAGATTGGAGAAAGCCGTCGTCCCGGCAATCAGGCGGATGCAACTCCCCTTCCGCACGCTGTACTCCTGTGGGATTTCATCGCCAGTATTGCTTCGTTCGAGTGCGGAGCAGAAAAATGCGCACAGCTGGCAAGACAGTGACGATCTCTGCAGCGCATCTAAAGTTGGCTGATGGAACAGACCTCCTTGTGACGGACCAGCCGTGGGGTCCCTTGGACCCATTGAGATAATCGAGTTTATACTGATGCGTTGACAATACTCACAAAGGCTGCGCGAAGCAAGGTATGCCATATTTGAACCACGATTCATAGGAACACAGTGTGTCGCCGCCGCCGCTTATGCGAAAGCCGAGGGAGTGGTGGCAAGCACTAGACGCAGACGGCACGAGGGTGTCATGTTAACAACAGGACCGCCGCTACCGACAAAACATAGCAGTCGGGAAATTCTATCATTTTCCTGACAAGAAGGAGTCTAGAAGGTTGAAGATTCTACAAGAGTGCCTCAAGGACAGATGTGCCAGCTCAAGGCCAGCTCTACTGGGTAGCCAGCCTGAAGCCGCCAGCCTTGCAGCCTAGTGCTAACCTCCGCTAGTCGCGAGCTCGCACGTGATGTGTGAGTATGCCTTGCACCGGCCTGCTCTGGCCAATTCCTGTTCCTACCCACGCTGCTAAAACACGGCGCATCGCCATGGGGCTAAATGGTTCAAGACGTCCAAGATGCCGCCTGCTCCTGCAGCCTCAGGCTACGGTTGTTCACCATCCGTTCATGTGCCATTGACACAGTTGATAACGGTTGCACGGACCTGAGCGCCCTGGATGGTGAATGTCAACGACAGCCTGACCTACTGACAACCTTTCTCTGCTACCTCAGCTGCTAACCGCCGCTCAGAATTCTGCCTCGCCCAAATCGCTCACGGTGGAAGAACCATCGCACGCTCGCGAAACCCGTTCGCACCCCCTATACCAAATTGTCGAGCTTCTATCTCGAGTCTCGACGCTGAGGTTGCAGCTGCAACAACCAACTTGACAATAGCCCAAGGCACCCGACGTGCTAAATCGCCTTCCCCGAATATTACCACTGTTTTGAATCCGATCAGAACCAAGCCGATGCACAAAAGTGGTGTTCCTCCGGGCCGCAGTCGTGAGCGATTGAATATCTTTAGCGAGCCAGCCGGCGAGATACGAGTGCCATGGATCCGCTCTCCATTACAGTGGGCGTCGCAACACTGCTAAAATGCTGCATATCCGTCGGCGTCTCACTCCGCAAATTTCTTATTGGCGCTGCGGAAGTGAAAACTGTGATCGCGGCAATGATGGTTGATCTCAGAGCCTTACGATCGGTGCTTGAGTCGATGGAAGCCACTTTTGAGGAGATGAACAGCGATAAGCCTGAGACCGGCCATGTAGGAGCTCACTGGACCAACCTCTTCCAGTCGCTCGAGGACGGCCAACAAAGTCTCGCTGGGCTACAGAAAGTACTTGAAGATGCTAACAAGCATGTTAAAATCTTAGACAGCGCTCGCAAGCAGATACGCATCAAGGCTGTTGCCGATAAAATTGTCACCTGCCGGCAAGAAGTACAGGTATATAAGGATACGCTTCAGCTTTCGTTACAGACCATAATTCTGTGAGCACTGGTACGCTTCAACGCAGTAGCTGTTCTAACATGACACTAGATGGAATTCGCATGGCATAAAGGGCAGTACCGAAGAGCTCCTAGTTGCGTCTAGGGCCACGCATCAAGACCTCCAACGGCTGGCGACTAATGTCGAGATCAAGTTGACAGCCCTTCATACCTTATTTGAGCATTCCAATGAGGCTGATGGTATGACCAAGATTACGAATCTCAAAAGGACAATTACATCAGCAGCGACTGTCATCGCTGGGGACACCACCGACGTGGCCAATTTGAAGGACGTGGATGATTTCACGTCGGATTTCGGAGACTGGTTCAGATCTGAAGCTTCGCAAGGATACACTCGACTGGATCTATTCCGATAAGCGCCAGGAGACATTCTTTACGCTCGATGAGCCGAGTCGGGAAGTACTTGTTGAGCGTCCTGCGACTCACGCAACTGCCAGGACTCTGCCGGTGCATACACTATCCAAATCGAGCTCGGCTTTGACGCTCAGCACCGGCACCAACGATGGACCCGTAGATCTGCCACCTGTAACAAGCAATGGCGAGCTCACGAACATACCGAGTGGGAACACGAATATAACCTCCGGATCGCACTCACTGGCGCCAGCGCCAATTCCACGACGGAAACCAGTTGGGGGACATCCAGCAAAGGGAAGCGAAAATCCGCCCACAAAACCAAATGATCATGATGTAAAATCAGATCTAGCCATATCTGATGTTGAGCCTGTGTCTAGCCCAAAGTTTCAGCTCCCCACAATTGATATCCGACGCGTTGAAAAGTCGAACCGGAAACGATTAAGGGGGTTCTGGTTCAACAAGTCAATGAACTCACTCGCAGTCCGAAGTCCCATGATGGATGATCCGCAATCCACATCATCGAGGTGGCGCAAAAGAAAACTGCCACGGAAACTCAAGATAGTACTCGTTGGCGACGGTGCTTCGGGGAAGACATGCTTACTCATGTAGGGCTTATTACCACCTCACTAGTATCTGCTAATCTAGCACAGCATGGTCACCAAAGGTACTTTTCCTGAAGTCTATGTAGCCACAGTCTTCGAGAACTATGTGGCAGATTTCGAATTGAATAAGCAAGACTTCACGGTTCATTTCTGGGATACCGCTGGACAGGAGGACTATGACAGATTGAGGCCTTTATCATATCCTGACGCAGACGCCGTGGTTATTACTTTTGCTATAGACTCCCCTGACTCGCTGGATAACGTACAAGCAAAGGTGCCAGACCATTGGTATGAATTTTGCGGATGAACCAGCTGACACGTCCCTAGTGGATCTCAGAGGTCCTCCATTTCTGCTCTGCAGCACCAATATTTCTCGTCGGCTGTAAGAAAGACTTGCGATACGATCCCAAGACGATCGAAGAGCTCCGTAAGACGTCGCAGAGGCCCGTAACTCTTGAACGGGTTAGTATTCATCCACCACTCCCTCACGGCAGGATCACCAGCTGACCCTTCGGTGGCACAGGCGGAAGGTGTGCGCAAGAAGATCGGTGCAGTCGCGTACGTCGAGACGTCTGCAAAGACAGGTGAAGGCACATTCAAGCGCTGAGCACTATACTGAGTGAGACAGTGAGGTATAAGATTGACCATGCTAAGAAGAAGCGGGATCAGGCATCGTCAGGAATCTAATGAGATGGTTAAAAATAAATTGGGGGGAGATGGCTGGGTCGGGTATTCGGTAATGATGCCCCGCGCTGCAACTAATGGCACGGGATGCTCTTTGTGTTTTACAGACGGATGCGACTTTTCATACCTATATTGAATTGATAATGGTGATGTTTATAGTCTGGCTTGGCTTTAGTGCGGATGGATGCTAGGAACCATTGAGTTCCTCTAGGACTGTTTCAGGCTCCCGATCGACCTCGAAACTGGAAAGGCTCGAAAGGGGACGCAGTCTCCTTTCAAAGGCCTAATACTTTCGGAAGAACTCTTTCCTTGAAACAAACCTGCAATGTTCAGCCTCGTCAATGTCCTCTGTTCCTTTGATCAGCCAAGGGTGGCGGGACAATGTCGGTTCCTTCTCGAGATCAACTGCATGTCTCGGTCGCGGCTTGATGGAATCTATCCCCCAGATGCTTCATCACCCTGATGCATTATGTGGTGTAACATGCTCGCACTTCCTGGGTATGTGACGAGGCCTCAGAGCCAAGAATGCAACTGACCGCGACAAAAAGAATTTGGCCGAGGGCGAGGCTCAACACCTCTGAGGCCGAAGCGGATGTTTATCTTGCATTGTACGGACTACCTCGGGCACCACAACCAAACCTAGAGGGCATAGGCTCCTTTGAATAATTGGGATTCTGCACAATTTGACATCAACCATGCGTCGGTTGGCAATGCATAAGCGTTGTTGACACATCAGATGCTCCAGCAGTCAAGCGTTGTCGACTCCATCTCGATGGCAGCCACCAAGGCATTAGTGACGTGAAGCCTGATATTGACTGCTTGCATGTACCTGCCTCTTTTAGGTCTCTTCCCCCAGATTTGACGGAGTGCGTGCTTATCTGAGTGACACAGGAGCAAAAGCTGCAGAGGCTCAAGGTTTGAAGTGGTGTTTTGTTAGCGGCCTGGCTTTACGGTTGTTTCTTAGAGCTGAGCCTTTGGCGAGCCCAATCAAGCTTTCGGGCCTTGATCTGTTGGCACAGCAGTACAAACAAGGCAGCAAGGGGGCCTAGGGGCTACTAGGCCTCCCGTGGGGGGGGTAGTGGGCTTACAAGGCTAGGGGGCCCTGCCTCATACCCAATGCTCCCTTACGTGCAACTATGCGTGTCTCACACACTCTGGTGCCTTGCAGCAATCCGAAGCCTGGCCACCGTTGACGCTCTACGATCATCGTCTCTACTTTGATGACGTAATCTGGCGTCGGTCTCGACGAAATACAAGAATCAGCACGTGGAAGGATTTTGATAGAAGTGGTTGTGTAGAACTGGTGTCCGCTTTGCATTGGTCTCAGCACTCGCCTATTCTCATGACTCATTTGCGGCTTCTATCGGAGCTTCAGACACTTGGCCGTAGGGATCACTCGGCTCGCTAGGCTGCCTGCAACAGCCTAGCCTCCACATCATGTCCAATATCTCCAATCTGTCTTGCCTACTTTTTTTTTGTCAAGACTTCATGGAACATCTTCCTGGATTGTTTCTTAGCCAGCGCTCGAGCCCTCGCACACAAGAATCTCCAACATCTCGTATAGATATGGACAATGACACCTCGGACAGTCTTCTGCTTCCGGATGGGCGAAAGCTTGGATACACGCAGTACGGCTCGCTGACAGGGCGTGCTGTCTTTTTCATACATGGCCATCCAGGATCCCGCTTCGAGGGCGCCCATCTCCACAATCTTGGCTTGAAATTAGGGGCCCGGATCATCACTCCAGAGAGACCTGGGATGGGTTTGAGCTCGCCACAGCCCGGTCGAACACTTCTTAACTGCCCAAAAGATGTGGAACACCTTGCAAACCATCTCAAGTTGGAGAGCTATGGTGTCCTGGTACGTTCTCTCAGAGCGGTTCCGAGCCATCTTCGAGAATAGTGGCACTAAAGCCAAGCATGACGCAGGGAGTCTCAGGCGGTGGGCCATATGCGCTGGCTTGCGCCTACGCATTACCTAGGGACAAGCTTAAATGTGTTTCAATCGTCTGCGGACTTGGACCTGTATATGAAATTGGTATGAAAGGGGCGCGCTGGGTGAACTGGATCGGGTTCGCATTTGGGTATCGATACACTCCCCCCTTTATCAATCGATGGTTTTGGCAGTCGCAAACATGTGGCCGCTTGGACCTGAGTGACGAGGAACGCCTTGAGCGTCATATGAAAGAATTTTCAAAGCCAAAGACGGTGGCGGATCAGAAAGACTTTGAATCCATGACAAATGAAGTCAATGCCCGGCGGTTTTTGCGCTCGTCTCGGGGAGCCTTCGCTCAAGGGTATGATGGAGCGCTGCAGGATGGGAGGGTGCTGTGCACAGACTTTGGTTTCCGCATCGAGGATATTCGTTCCGACCTGCCCGTGCAGCTGTGGTATGGGAAGTTGGATGTCAACGTTCCGCTTAACCATGGGGAAACGATAGCCAAGCGTTTGGGTGACCGAGCAGTCCTCAGAGTCGAGGATGAGACACATGCAAGCATCTTTTTCAACTGGAGGGAACAGTTCCTAGGCGACTTGGTAAAGAACATTTGAGCAATGGATCACGACCTGTAGATTTAGCGCCCGGGAACTTCGCATCTCAACCATATGCTTGCACTTAGACTAGTCAATGTACAATACATCACCACTCCAAAACACTGAATCCAAAACACTGAAAGACATGAATGTGTACATCTAGGGAGTAAGTCCTCCCGCGGTACTGCGGCGCCTGGGTGGCAGACGTCGCAAGCTCGTAGCGCACATATACTTTCAAAGTATTATGGCAGGCGAGAGTCTTTTAGAAGAATTGTGTAAGAGAACAGCCCGAAGGCACTCGAATTGATGTAGAGCATTCAGAAAACACTTTGCAATCTTAATTAACCAGGTCGTCTTCCTGCAAGCAATTTGAAGGGGAGTGAGAATGCACGGCCCATAAATGAAGCCACTACTGTTAAATAAATGTAACGACCCAGACACGGGAACGCTCTCCTGGATCTCGTCAACATCGTAAACCAAGTCCCCCTCCCCGAATCTCCCTCTATCCAGAGACGTCCATTTGATAGCTTTCAGCCCGGCCCAGAAAAGGAGCTTTTTGAGCCACTGTTCCCTGGAACCGGTTTTCTTTCTCAGCCGGCTAGCGGCGAGTTTGGCGAACCTTTCGACACGCGGTCTCTGAATCTCGTCGAATTTGTCAAAGGCCGCTGATAAGGAACTGGAAGAGGCGAATGATTCCAGTTCTAGTACCCGTGAGAGCAGGAAGACATCTTCCAGGGCCATGCTCACTCCTTGACCGACATGGGGGGACATGGTGTGTGCGGCATCGCCCATCAGGAGACATCGGCCCCTAGACCACTTTCCTCCCACCGGAAGCCTTTAGATGGGGTAGAACTTAACGACGTCGGTCTTTCGGACCGCCTCCTTCAGAAGAGCGCCCCACTGGGTATGGACGTCATTCAGGATCGGCAGCAAGGTGGGCTTGAAAGCTTCCTCCTCCATTCGGCTACGCTCTGCCCAACCGTCACGGCTGCTGTTGTTTCCCGAGGCCGGCATGGGGACTTCGTAGGAGAAATACCAGAACAGCGTGTCTCCAGACGCTGTGCAGGGTATGATCGCGAACATTCCATGCGGAGTCAGAGTTCCCGTCAAACTAGTCACCCCGTCCTCTGGGGGCCGCGCAGATACAGGGACCAAACGAGTAGATGGTCGAGATGCCCGAATAATCTGGCGAGAGCTGTGGATCGACATACAACGTGCGTACACTGGAGTGGACCCCATCGCACCCCAGGAGCAGGTCGGCGGTGTCAACACTGCCGTCAGAAAACATCACTATAACTTTTTTTGTCATGCTCTTGGATGCGTACGAGGCGTTTGCCGCAGTGAATTGGAATTTCCTCTGTCTGAGCCGCTACACCGCACCTCCTGTAAGTCCATCCTCTTGACCCTCATGGACAGGTAGGCCGTCTTCTCGGCGCTCCATGATCCCAAAATGAGTTTCCCAAGCTCTCCGCCTTGGCAGGAGTATAATACACCTTTGGTGGACTGTGCTTCCTTGAGCGATAGCCGATCGTAGAGACCGAGGCGATCCAGGAGCCTCAATCCGTTGCCAGGCACCATGACTGCACCTCCTAGTGTGGTGGGCTCCGGACGAATCTCGCATACCATCAATGACAGCCCATTTTGTCGTTTGAGGTGGAGCGGAGCTGCTAACCCTGTCGGACCAGCGCAGATGACGATGACCTACATTTCAAGCCGAAGGTGAGAACAGACCTGCCTTTCCCAAACGCCCCTTAACTAAAAGAGAATACGCCGTACCTTGTGTACTTCAGGCATAACGCCGGAAATATATATCATGTGTAATGCTCTTGATGCTCCCCCACCATCTCTGTGGGAATGGTGCTTTTGATCAAAACTAATACTCAAGGGGTTCCCCGGCGAGAGAAGCTGACGTACCCGGACTGCAGAATGTTATTAGCATGATGATACTAGCCTTATTAGGCCTAGAACTAGCAGTGCTGGGTATATCTTGGCACTGTGGTCTCTGTCACCTGTTTAATGCCTCGCTGTCACTCTAGATAGATTTTCGCAATCAGTCAATTAACCTCCCCAGATTGGCCCAACGCTGGGCTCCTAGGACTGCTATCGCTCGGTTGTGAGCTCATGAGCCAATACTAAATTTCACTTATATGGTCCCGATGGACTCCCCGGAAATAGACACATCTCGGCTGGCCAATCGGCACCCCCTACAACAGGCCGAAATACCGAAGCTCCGCGCCGCGTTCGCCAATCAAAACGAGCTTACTTCCGGCTCCACATCTTAACACATCCCATATTTACTCAGGCGCACACCGCTGCATTGGGGGTGTTGTAGATACCAGACTTTGGAGAATGGGTTCCTTTCCTCTTCCTGCGCTTCCTCAGCGGAAGCCATATTCCAGTCTACGAGAATTCTTGGCCACTCTGTCAGATTTAGGCGATGTCGCTGAGATCACGCGAGAGGTCGACACGCACCTCGAAATCGGCGCGATCATCCGACGCAGCCATGAAAACTTTGGTCCTGTCCCAGTGTTCAGCAGTATCCGCGATCATGCGGGATATCGCGTGGTCGGAGCGCCCCTCTCCTACAGCTCTCTTCCCAAGGCTCGCATGGCGCGAATTGCCATGACTCTTGGATTGGATCCCACTACCCCCGGCACGGAAATTGTGCAAATTTTGGCCAAAACAACCAAGCTGCCACCCATTCCTCCGGTCATTGTCGAAGATGGGCCAGTCCATGAGAATATTTTGCTAGGTGATCAGGTTGACCTCCTCAAGTTCCCTATACCACTGATACGCTTTTGCGATGGAGGCCGCTTCTTCAATACCTGAGGCTTTTGGGTGGTGCGTAGTCCAGACGGCAAACAGACGAACTGGTCGATAGCCCGCGACATGATCCTCGACAAGAAGCACATGACCGGAGTTATTGCTCCCTACCAGCACAGTAGGAAGATCTTTGAAATGTGGCGCAAGATCGGGAAACCAATGCCCTTCTCGTTGGTACAGGGAGCGGAGCCAGCATCTTTTTCCGCTGGTGCCATGCCGCTGTCGGATGGCATAGATGAGGCTGGCTTCCTGCGATGTCTTTTCAACGAGCCGCTTAAACTAGTTTGATGCAAGACAGTTGCGCTTGAAGTGCCTGCCCAGGCAGAGATTGTCGTCGAAGGTCACGTCTCGCTGACCCGGCGTGCACCAGAGGGGCCAATGGGAGAATTCCACGGCTACATTTCGAATCGAATTATAGAGAAACCAGTGTATGAAATCAGTGCCATTATTCATCGCAACAACCCCTTGCTACCAGTCACGTCGGCCGGGAAGCTGGTGGATGAGGACCACACGATCACGGGAGTCTCAGCCTCAGCCATGGTGCTGGAGACGCTAAGAGACCATGGACTGCCGGTCACCTCGGCGTCGGCACCTCCCGAAACCGAACAGCAGCTTCTTACCATCTCCGTTCCCCGAGACTGGTACCAGAAAATCGAATTGTCCGCGGACGACTTTGTGCGAAAGATTGTGGCGACGGCAAAGTCAATCCATGGAACGCAGCGATACACACGCGTCCTTGTCTGCGATGACGATATCGAGCTCTTCAATCATCGAGACATGATCGGGGCATGGAACACGCGGTGTCATCCCGGCACTAGCCGCATTAGGCTGGACGGCCAGCCGATCAATCCTGCGATCCCATTTTATCCCGAGATTACCGAACAGTTTCAAAAGTTCCTCGCCGACCCTGAACATGCGACGTGGAGATTCTCGGGAACGATCGAAGCCCTGAAGTACCTTCGCCCGGTGGGGTGGGATCCCCAAAGGCTGTCGGACTTTGCCCATAACTTTCCGGAGGACCTACAAAAGAAGGTCGTTGAACAATGGGTGGAATAAGAATAATTCATACTGAGAAAGTAGTTTGACACCACGTCCTCCAGGTCATGTTTAAATTTCCTTATTAGTTCTAAGAGGAATAAGGCGAAATACCCAACCTACTATTTACAAGGCACCCCAGCAGCCAGTCTCCAATATTCTCAGCTCAGTATGATACTCCGTATACGTGACCGACAATCCGAAACCCACGCCGGCATTTGTCTCACTAATTTAATGTTACAGTATCGACTATATCCTTCCAGATTGGTCATTACTCGGCTGATGCCAAAGCATGACTGTCATCCAAGTGTCTGCTGAGGAATATCTAAAGTTCTCGGATCTCTCACCTTCAGCCTAACATCCAGTCCTGACTGAACCACCAGCCACCCCGCTTTTACTTTGTAACGATTAGGATCGACCAATTCCACCTGAAAATGTCGAAACACTTCAGGCACCAGCTTTGAGATCTCAAGCATGGCAACATGGCGTCCAATACCTGCGTCGCCATTAGAAAATATTTGAGGCGAAATAACCGATCACTTACAAGTCCGAGACCCTGCACCGAAGGCGAAATTATATCTCTCCAGGATTTTCACCTTTTCCTCATTGTTGTCTAGCCATCTTTCTGGGATCCAAAGGTCGGCATCCTCGCCATATATATCTTTATCCCGATGGACCGTCCATGCATTGCAGCCCACTTCCGTGCCTCCGGGAATGAAAACACCACAGATAGTGGCGCCTTGAACAGGAACCACACGAGGCAAGATCATTCCCAGCGCAGGATGTATCCGCAAAGATTCTTTGATACAGGCTTGAAGGAATGGCATCTGCCGCGCCTCGGCCCACGAGAAGTGGTCACCAAAGCTGTCATCCCTTGGCCGCTGTGCCAATGTCTGCCTGATTTCGCTCATGACCCTCTCGAGCCTTGCTTGATCTGTCAAGAGATAGAAGAAGACGGCGCGGAGAATTATCGCCGTTGTATCGGAACCAGCACTGACATTTGTTACAGCAAAGTCGATCAGTTGAGAGTCGGTCATTACGTCGGGGTATTTTCCTTGAGCCATTTGAAAGCGTGTAACAAAATCCGGTTTGCCCTGTTCCTTGAAACGGCTTTTGTGCTCACGAATGTGCTTGGTGGTAAATCTGACAATAGCATTGGTTTTCATCAACAGTCGCGCAAGTGGGTTGTTGAGGCGGAGCCATTTGTCGAGCCATGGTAATTGTCCCATTGTGCCGAGATATTCCATATGCTTAGCAGTATGATGAAGCATGTTCTCTAAATCATGCCCCGCCTCCAGGAAGCCAAACCGCTTACTGAATGTAATCTCACCAAGAACGTCAAAGGCGTACATCTGGAGCCAGGTTGCGAAATCGCAATCCCTGCTGGGCCGTGCGAAACGTTCCGTCAGCTCATGGAAGAACACGTTGGTGGTAGAGTCCACCAGATATTCGTACTCAATGACCGTGCTCATGGAGTAGGCATTGTTTACTGGCCTCCTCAGACGTGCGTGGAGTTTCTCATCTCTTGTGGAAGAGAGATTAGGCATCACCTCTCCTCGAATGCTCTTGAAGCTGTGGGTAACATAAGCCTCCCCCTGCCATTGTTCAGCCTATTCAAGCTCGTCAATGATATATACACCGGAGCATACCTTATTGAAAATAGGGTTTAACCCATAGATTTTGGCCACCTCTGTAGCATCTGAAACCGAAATTTGGTTCGGCCCAACACGTAGTAGCTTGGAGTTATATTTTCTGTGCAATTCATAGTCATCAATGCATTTACCAGCCCTCCCATGAATATATCTCCACACGTCAGTCACACCAGCCAATACTGGCCCCGGGATAGATGATAGTTTGGAGTAGTTACAGAGAAGTCTCATAAAGTATAGTAGACATAAGATGGCCCACCACCATTGCTGTAATGCTTGTGTGAGTAGAAGTGCCAAACCCATGGTTTTGGTCGCTCAGCACGGCAGAGTTGACAACAACGTCTCCGGAGCTAATGAGAAGTCAGAATCTCGTCAATAAATACAAAATCTGAGGCATCCTACCGGAAGCGATCAGTTTCTGTTCTTACCAGCCCTTCAACTCCGGCCAGGATCAGACCTCCGTAGCTGGCGGAGATAGAATGCGTCTCATCATCTACACCAAATGCTAGCTAGCTGATATCGGATACCTTTTTCCGTAGTTCAAATTTATCTGAACTTTCTGATTCAGCGGCACGGCATCTTCACAGGCTGTTACTCTTAACGTGCCTTTCCTGAATTTGTTTTGCAGACAAGGTTCCGTGATGCTCTCTAGGCCTTATCCTAACTCTGAACGTTGTGGCGCATCTATCTTAGACTACCCCACTCGGCTTTCCAAATAGAAAAGTCTATTACTATCCACATTACTATCTCCGTGGATTTGGCAACAACTAGTAAGCCTGAGCGAATTGGGCAGATGATGAAGCTAGGCCCCGTTCTTCGGGGCTATGTTTTGCGACAAGATTTCTTCAAATGAAAGCCCTTTGCTTCGGCTTGAACTATTGACAGACCTAGACATTCACAGATTCACATATTAAACCTAGAGGCTTATCTTATTTCGAGTGCTTGATTCACTCCTGTCCGCTTCGTGAGACCTGCAGTCGTAACGATATCTTGCAAATGACGACTTTCCAAGAAGTCAACGGCACTGCCGTATATAGTGACTTGAAGGGAAAGGTTTTTGTTATTACTGGTGCAGCCTCCGGCATGGGCCGAGCAACAGCCCTAATGCTTGCCCAACAAGGTGCACATGTCGGTCTTCTCGACTTACATAAGCCCGACGCCGTCCTAGCTGAGGTCGAACAGCTCGGTGGACAAGGCATTTCCATTGAATGCAATGTCCAAAAGGCCGACATTGTTAATGCTGCGGTCAAGGCAGTAGCAGAGCGCTTCGGCAGACTGGACGGCGCAGCAAACATGGCTGGTTATGTTGGCAATCAGGGCTTTTTTGGGAAAGGATACGCTCTTGACGTGCTGAACGACAATGATTGGGACGATATGCTGGCAACTAACCTGAATGGAGTCAAGAACTCCGTGCGAGCTGAACTTAATCAAATGAAAGGTCATGGATCCATTGTGAATGCGGCCAGCATTGCAGGCCAATATGGTCCCGAGTTCAATGCACCATACTCTGTTGCCAAGTGGGGTGTCATTGGTCTGACCAAGTGTCTAGCACGCGAGGTCGGTGCAAGAGGTATCCGAGCAAATGCTCTTGCTCCGTGAGTGTTTCATATTTCTGTCTCGTGTTTAATATGGTTAACCAAATTCCAGAGGCATCATTCGCACGGCTCTTGCTGATCAGCTGGGAAATCCCGACCAAGTGAATGAGATCTTGGTGAAGAAAACCGCTCTCAAACGTATTGCCGAACCCGAAGAAGTATCTAGGGTTATTTTGTTCTTGTTCAGCGATCAATCAGCTTACATCACCGGAAGCGTAAGTTCTTTGGACACCTATCCCGCTGCGGTTCACAATGCTCGACTTTCGTCTAATTAGATGCGGACAGGTGATTAATGTTGACGGGGCGATTGAAAAAGGCTGTTAAAGGTCGTAAATGAATAGCTTTTTACCTTGAGAGCGGATGGTGACGAGACATCATTCAAGCCTCGCAGCGTATTAGAGCATTGGCTGTAGCAGCTAGCAGCGATCTTACCAATACAATCTCATCAGAGCATGAAAAAAATATTTTCCTCACGTCAAGCCAGTGGTTCCTACATATACTGAATACTACTAGGAATCGCAGTTTCAAGGGCTTGAGAGTTGGCTAAATAAGCTGTATTACGGCAGAGTCAGCCCTAGAAGCTCTTTCATGTCCCTATGAAAGTATTCTCGGCGATCTAAAGTTCCTTTTGAGTTGAAACCACCGAGTTCTTCTACCTAAAACTTCCCCGGATTTCCTTTCTCCGGCGATACCCATATTCAAGACTCCGCATCAAGCGGTATCCGCAATTACTCTGGGGTTTGCCATTCCCCATGTTGGCCGCCTTAGCGTAGGTGTCGCATAAGAATAAATGGTCCACCTCCAGGACAACCCTCCAACAAGGAGGCAAAATTCGTGCCTTGCACAGATTTTTCACAAAACAGATTCTTTGAAGGACAAGAAAATCTCATTTGCAGATCCGCCATAATGCACGAAATCAACGAAAAAGGCCATCTTAGGGTCAAAACAGTCTTGATGGTTTTGACCATGTCCATGGCTTCAGCATCCATGGGCATGACAGCCTCAGTGATCAGCACCACCCTAGGACAACCATCATTCATTGTCAAGATGGGCCTTGACGGTCCGAATGGCGCATCGCTGACTGGGGCGGTGACCAGCCTGTACTATGTTGGTGCGACCTGGGGGGCTTTTGTGCACGGCTGGTTTGCAAATCGATATGGGCGCAAGCCGTCCATAATATTTGCCGTCTGCGTGATTTTTGTTTCACAGGCACTGCTTACTGGAGCTGTGAATGTGGCCATGTTCATTGTATTTCGTTTCTTTTTGGGCTGGGGGTATGTATTCCTCCTCCCTGTCCTCTCCAAGCTTGAAAATCTGACGCTTGGAGCCAGAGGCTTTCAAGCTATATGCGGCGTTCCTCTCTGGATCAGCGAAATTGTCCCACCACGTCATCGTGGCAAGCTCTCCGATATCCACGCAGTCATGATCAACATCGGCTATTCGATAATCGGTTTTGTCGGAGTTGGCTTTTATTACTACGACTCCCCCGACGCCTGGCGTGCTCCACTTGGCATCGCCATTCTTCCTGAGATCATCTTCCTGGTTGGCTGCTGGTGGCTTCCAGAAAGCCCGCGATATCTCATAGCTCGGGATCAGTCTGCAAAAGCGTGGAAGATTCTACGTGCACTTCATGCGGACCAAAATGACCCCACCGATGAATTTGCTAAACGTGAATTCTACCAGATTCACGAGCAGATACAGTTTGATCGAAGTCAAGATACCAGCTGGAAGTTGATACTGACGCGGCCATCATATCGGAAGCGCGCATTGATCTCTG